GTGGGAAAAATTCAAGTCCGACTTGAAGGATCAATTCTACCCGAAGAATGCCGAGGAGATGGCCAAGAAGAAGTTGCGCGACCTCAAACATACGAGGAGCATTAGGGAGTACATCAATGAATACACATCGTTGATGCTTGATCTTCCCGAGATGGTCGAGAAGGATTGTTTGTTTAACTTCATAGAGGGGTTACAAACATGGGTGGCGATCGAGTTGAGGCGCCAAAAGGTCCAAACATTACAAGAAGCCATATCGGCGGCCGAGGATCTTTTGGAGATCCGACGGGACTTCGTGCCCAAGAAGGTGATCAAGTACAAAGGTGGGGGAGTGAAGCCCTACAAGCTGGTGAACAAACCTTTCTTTAAGGGTCGGGAAAGAGCACCCGAGACCGGTGCGAAGGACCGGAGTTGTTTCACGTGTGGAGAATCACACTTTGTTAGGGATTGTCCGAAAAGGAAAGCTCTCAATGCTACCACCGTAGTCCACGAGGAGCGGGAGAAGCCCGAAGAGGCGAGATTGGGAGCAATGAGAGTCCTCAATGCCGTAAAGGCAAGCGATGAAATGTTCACGGTGCCTACGGAGGAATGACCCGAGGATGAACTTATATATTGCGAGGCCAAGGTAAACGGGGTACCTACGAAGGTCTTGATGGATTCGGGAGCGTCTCGAAACTTCTTGTCCGAAGACAAGGTGACGGAAATGGGTGTAAAGGTGACGAAGGGAATCGGGTGGATGAAACCGGCGGATTCGGAGTCAAAACCAATCACCGGCATGGCCAAACAAGTCCCGGTTCAAATTGGTGGATGGCACGGAAAATTGGACTTCATGGTGCTACTGATGAGCGATTACAAAGTCATATTTGGTGTAAAGTTCATGAGAGAAATGACGGTGATCTTCCACAAGACCAAGTCAATGAGCTTCACGGAAGGTGACGTAAGTGTTCATGTTCCTTTACACGTTCAAAAGGTTAAATCGCATGTTTTATCGGCTATGCAAGTTTCGAAGGGATTCAAGCGAGGGTATGAGACGTACTTCTTGGCTCTCAAGGAGGATGACCCATCAAAAGGCAAAGATGTCCCGACGGAGATCAAAGGCGTGCTAGACGAGTTTGAGGACGTGATGCCCCCCGAATTACCAAAGAAGTTGCCCCGAGACGAGAAGTCGATCACGAGATCGAATTGGAGAAAGGGGCGAAACCTCTGGCAATGGGTCCATACCAGATGGCCCCGCCCGAATTGGAGGAACTTCGAAGACAACTAAAAGAGTTGTTGGATGCTGGCTACATCCGACCGTCAAAAGCTCCTTATGGCGCACCGGTACTATTCCAAAAGAAGCAAGACGGGAGACTTCGAATGTGCATTGACTACTGGGCGCTCAACAATGTGACAATCAAGAACAAGTACCCGATACCGTTGGTGGCGGACTTGTTCGACCGCTTAGGGAAGGCCAAGTCGTTTTCGAAGTTGGACTTGCGATCGGGGTATTGGCAAGTTCGGATTGCGGAAGGCGACGAGCCAAAGACCACTTGCGTAATGAGGTATGGCTCCTACGAGTTTTTGGTTATGCCCTTCGGCTTAACTAACGCCCCCGCTACATTTTTCACTTTGATGAATATGATATTTCACCCATTTTTGGACAAGTTTGTTGTTGTGTACTTGGATGACATAGTCATCTATAGTGAGTCCCTAGACAAGCACGCGGAGCACTTGCGATTGGTGTTCCGGGCCTTGCGGGAGAACGAGTTGTATGTGAAATTGGAGAAATGCTTGTTCGCCAATCAGAGGTGATGTTCCTCGGACACAAAGTGAAGTAAGGCGAGATCTTGATGGATACAAAGAAAGTGCGGGCAATTGTCGAGTGGGAACCGCCTAAGAACGTTTTCGAACTTCGGTCGTTCCTTGGGTTGGTGAACTATTACATACGATTCATTGCGGGATATTCGGCGAGGGCCACGTCATTGACGAATTTGTTGAAGAAGAACGTTGCTTGGGAGTGGGGTGATGAGTGCCAAACATCTTTCGAGAACTTGAAGATGATGGTCGTGAAGGACCCGGTACTTAGCCTCCCGGATTACTCGAAGCCGTTCGAGCTTCACACGGATGCCTCGGACTATGCCATTGGAGGAGTAGTGATGCAAGATGGGCATCCCGTGGCATGCGAGTCTCAGAAACTCAACGACACGGAGTGGAGGTACCCGGTCCACGACAAGGAAATGTTGGCAATCATCCATTGCCTTCGGACGTGGAGGCACTACTTGCTCGGGAGTCACTTTGTGATCAAGACGGATAATGTGGCAAGACTTTTTGGCGGAGTTCGACTACACATTGGTGTACAAGCCGGGCAAAGCCAACGTCTTGGCGGATGCGCTTAGTCGGAAGGCTTCCTTTGCGGTGATTACTCAAGTGCAAGGAGACCTTGCCGACCGGATCAAGGAGGGATTAGCCGAGGATTCCTTAGCCACGAACTTGATAGAAATGGCTAAGAACGGCACGACGAGGAAGTTTTGGGAGGAGAATGGCCTACTCTTCACGGTCGGGGATCGACTATTTGTGCCTCGGTGGGATAATCTTTGGCGGGATATCCTTAAGGAGTGCCACGACTCGAAATGGGCGGGACACCCAGGTATTCATCGTACTAAGGCGTTGGTCGAGCAATCGTTTTATTGGCCTAACGTGCAGGATGATATCAATGCCTATGTGCGGACGTGCTTGGTTTGCCAACAAGACAAGTTTGAGCAAGCCAAACCGGTGGGGCTTTTGGAGCCATTTCCGATTGCCGAGCGGCCGTAGGATAGTGTGACGATGGATTTCATCTCAGCATTAACAAAGTCGGACGGATGCGGACCGATCATGGTGGTGATCGATAGGTTTTCCAAGTATGGGACGTTAATACCGGCGACAAAAGATTGCAAAGCTGAGGAAGCCGCCCGACTATTCTTGAAGCACGTAGTCAAGTATTGGGGAGTGCCGAAATATATCATTAGCGACCGTGACCCGCGCTTCACCGGGAAGTTTTGGAGGGAGCTTTTCAAGCTCTTGGGGTCGAGTCTCCACTTCTCGACGAGCTTTCACCCGCAAACCGACAGCCAAACCAAGCGGGCAAATCACTTGTTGGAGATATACCTTCGACACTTTGTAAGTGCCAACCAAACCGATTGGACTCGTTTACTTGATGTTGCATAATTCTCGTATAACTTGCCTCGTAGCGAGTCTACCAATCGGAGTCCTTTCGAGTTGGTGACGGGGCAACAACCAACAACCCTTCACGAGTTGGCACGAAGATACGAAGGAGCGAGTCCGGCGGCGTATAAACTTGCTAAAGGATGGAATGAGGAGCACGACATAGCAAGGGCGTACTTGGCGAAGGCCGCGAAACAAATGAAGAAGTAGGCGGACAACAAGCGACGTCCACGGGACTTCGAGGTCGGGGACCAAGTGTTGGTCTGAATGTTGGGGAGAAATGTAAAGGCGATCCGTCAAGTGCACAAAGGCTTGACACGGAAGTACGAAGGACCGTTCGAAGTGGTGAAGAAGGTTGGCACACGATCCTACCGACTCCTACCCGACAACTTCAAGATCCACCCAGTCTTTCACGTGAGCTTGTTGAAGCCGTATCACAAGGATGAGGAGGATCCGTCCCGGAACGAGTCACACCGCGCTCCACCGACGATGACGGTGTCCTACTAGAAAGACATTGCACGTGAGCTTGTTGAAGCCGTATAACAAGGATGAGGAGGATCCGTCCCGGAACGAGTCACACCGCGCTCCACCGACGATGACGGTGTCCTACTAGAAAGACATTGCGAAGATCATGGCGGATCGTGTGATGGGCAAACGGGGGACACCCCGTTGGACCGAGTACTTAGTCCAGTGGAAGGGCGAGCCGGATAGCGAGGCGTCATGGGAGAAAGAACAAGACCTATGGCAATTCAAGAACCACATCGAGGCGTACCGAGTGAGCACTTGATGAGGACGTCAAGGTTTAGGTGGGGGAGAGTTTTCACGGTCGGACTTTCCAGCGGTCGCATGGCGGTGGTTTTTCCATACTTAACACTTTTTCATTATGCCAAAGACTTCACTCAAACTCACTAGCATCTTCTAGAAGGTTCCAGAAGGTGGTAGAACTTGGCATTAATGAGATAGTTGGGAGTTGATGATTGATTGTTGATAGATTGCATTTAATTCGGTAGTTGGGGAGATAACATTTACTCATTTGCCTTGTATAAATAGGTGATTGCATCTCACTTGTAAATCATCCAAGTCTTAGCAATCAAAAGTATTTCTCTCCAGACTTTCTCTCTCTAGAAAGCCTTTAGCTTTTGTGGTGTTTGGCCGAGTTGGGAAGCCTGCCTTAGTAGCCGACGGGAGTGAGTTGTTAAGGGGCGCACGGTTACTTCGAGTGAAGGAAGTTAGCCCGTGACACGCTGCCCACATGTTAGTTTCTCCAATTTTTTTATTTCTTCCTCTTTCTTCTAAAACCCTAAATCATGTCTCAACTCTAGAGTTATTAAATGAATCTAATCGTTGGTGACCAGGACTCAATTCAACTCAGTTAAAACTCGTTTGCGAACATTAATGAGTCAAATCGAATAGAATAAACAAACTCATTTAAATAACAAATAAGCCCGAACTTTATTACTAAATATTCGTTAAAATAATATATTTAATATAAATATTATATAAAAAAATTAGAATATATAAATAAATAAATAAAGTATTAATTTAAAATAAATAAATAAAATAATTCCAAATTTTAATTTCAATTTATATATAAATTAAATATATATAAAGATTAAAAAATAATTTCAAATTGACAATAATTTTAAATTTCAATTTCAATTAAAAATAATTTTAAATTTCTACCTAAATTATTGTGTATATATATATTATATATTAAAAGTAAAATAATATTCAAATTATTAAGTATTTACAATTCATTTATTTCTAATTTTCAATTCCTCTAAATCCCTAATTTACTCATTTCTTCCCACGACCAGCCCGCCACTCACACCCGTAACCCCTTCCTCTCTCATTCCCTCGCTCATCCCTAGTATCCGACCCTCGCCGCCGTCCTCCTCCATCACGCGCCGCCACTGTCTTCCTCCACCGTGCGCCGCCTCTCCTTCACCATTCGACCGCCCGCCTCCTCTGAGTCCGAGCTCCACCCAGTAAGTTTTGTTTTTATTTTCACATTTTTGAATTTATCAATTTAGTAGCTCGTTTGGGCAGATAAATAGATTTATGATTTATTTTCGCTCGCCTCCTCCCACTAAATTTTCTGATTTTCCGATTGTTAGAGAATGACAAACAAACCAAGCACTTGGAATGGAAGGCACGCAATCCCGCCTCTGTCTTTTCCAGATGGATTTTCTCGACTGCGCCTCCATTTCCGCTACAGTGAAGGGTGCGGCCGGTGTTTCCACCTCACATCTCCGTGCAATGTCGACCGAGTTGATGATACACAAGTGAATTCCCTAAATAATAGATCCCCAAATTCTCTAAGTTTTGAGCAAGTATCAAATCTAGTTGTACTTGTGAAACCAGTGGCAAATTTTAGATCCTTCCGTTAAGGGACCCATTAAAGTGCAGACTCTGGCCAAAGAGCTTCGGATTTGCTGCTTTGTCTATCAATTCCTCAATTTCGGCCACCATTCCAAACCCTGATTGGCCGTCTGATAGGTTAAGAATGAAGAGTGTTGGACTGATGAGGAATACTACAAGCAAAATGAGGTTAAAAATTTCTTAAATCACTCGTATCTTTTGTTTTTTCTTGAATAGTTGATAGATTCACATTTATATATATATATTTAAATGTGTTGGATGTTTAAGATGCAAAATTAGTTATTCTATCCACAATTAGATTTATATATAAGAGATATTTTGGGGGTTTTAGTTCAACATGTTGCACTTTCAATTAAGACGATAGTATCGAATGTCTAAACATACTTGTAGCTGGATGGAAACTTTACTCCTTATCATATTAGCACATATTTTGTTGTTTCAATCACTGGGCTAACTTTTTAAAACTAATCTATGTTCAATGATATGCCTCATCTAGTTGTTAGTGAGGATGTTATTCAAGTTTGAAATGATGTAAGCTTGTGTGATGAGTTTTCTTATCTGAATTATGATAATTGTATTACTAAGCATGTCTGATTGTAAGCCAAAAATCTAAATTGTGCAGTGAATTGATGTTGGAATATATGGGTATTGCGAAAATAAACGTGAAACCGAGTCGAGGATGGATCCTCTTTCCGAAAATTAGATACGCCCCGGTAGTGCCTCTGGTGGGTGGCGTTTTAATCCAAGGATAAAACAGTTTCCCTCTCCAATGAGAGTGGCACCTCTAATCGTTGGAGCTCCGGCGAACAAAACGAGAGAGAAACTGAGCTGGAGAGGCTGTCGGAAAGCTAGAAGAGATGAGAGAAGGACGAGAGGATTGTTTGTGTTGTGTTGGATCTTAGAATGAAGGGGGAAGCCCTTTATATAGGCGTCTCCACTCAGCCAAAATGGCAGGGGATCAATTACGATCATAATTACGACCTTAATAATCGATGTAATTAATCATAAATTCAAACCTTCCGTTTGAAGCAGTCGTAATTGATTCTAATTACAAACCTTCCGTTTGTGACGATCGTAATTTATTCTAATTTCAAACCTTCCGTTTGAAACGATTGTAATTTATTTTAATTTCAAACCTTCCGTTTGAAATTATAATAAATCTATCCAACGGATAATATTTTATCCAAATAATATTGTGACTTAGGCCATATACTTGGATTTAATTTGGGGTTGCACAATTTGGTTTGTCTCGAGACAGGCAAAATAGCCAAAATATTAACAAACCCCATACACAATAAATAAATAGTATTTATTTATTTCTTCCAAATTAATAATTAATTTGGTACACCGGCCCATCGCATTTTCACTCACAAAATAATCGATTGCAAAATAACCGATTATCCAACAACTGGTGCATGTTTACAAAATCTAAATTTTTATTCAAGAATTATATTTCTTAATTAAACTTGAGCGTGGTCTTCAAATTAATATGTAACTGGTGCATGTTTACCAAATCTATGCAGCGGTGATTACATAATCATATTCTTGGAATAAACTTTTAATAGTTCACATGGGCACCGCTGGTTGTATAGTGTGGCATGCAATTTTAAATTTTCCTCATGGTGAACTCATTTCATATTATTACATCGTTGAACAAGTCAACTAAGTAATTAATTAAGATAAACTCTTCATTGCTCTAATATGGAAGCTCTGAGTTTCATTATGATGAATAGAGAAGTAAGGCGATTTGCCAGAATAACATGACTAATTTGTTTTGGTACTGAACTATAGATGTTGACTGTGATTACTCCTCAGAATCCTCTAACACATGAACCTGTTTCTTATCATATTGTGGATGATTGTAATTATATATTATCGTTTTTTTTTACTCCTATTTAAGGTTGGATTGTAGGTGTGCAGAAACACAAGTGGGCTTAAAATCACTTCTAACATTGCAATAGAAAACTAAAGATAATTAGGTGTAACTTCTCTTTTGAAGTAATCTTAATGATGTATTATGTTGTCAAAATTAGATATTACAATCTTGTAGTTTAAATTTTCGCTTTTCTCCTTCATCTTTGGACCAAACTTAATCAATGAATATTTTTGCATCTCATTGTGCTGCTTTTTCCTATGGCACTATGTAGTGGCTGGAATCACATACTATGCGGTTAAGCTATCTCCGAGATCGAACCAGTGATTAAGGATGTTGGATGGAATATCTTTTTCTTACTACATCTTGGTTTTATTTTTCAAATTTATGTTCACTTTTTCTTCTTCTTTCTTTTTTAATTTTTTTCTTATCCTTCCCGTCTTTCTTCTTTTTTTTTTCTTCCAAGTTGTGCTGCCATCTCTGAGATATAGCCAGTGATTAAGGATATCAGCTTTGCTTTAACTTTTATCGAAGTAGTGAGCAGCGCCTAGTTAGATCATTTGGCTTATATTCTAGTTATATATAGTGCTTGCCTTTGGTAAAGTCTTGATTGATAAATTTTCTCATGTTTTGGTTGCTTGACATGAAAGAAGATTAACTATTGTAGTTGTTGCACTTTGATACAATTTGATTGCAAGTTCATAATATATATGCTTTGTTAGTTTGTTACTAAGTGTGAGGAGAGATCTTTGCTATTCCAAATTTTGTTGCTAACTTGAGAATTTTTCAGGAGCTTAGGATGTTATCAATATGGTTGTTGTTATGGAGCCAGGGAAGTTCGCCTTATTGAATTTTTTGATTCCTTAACTTGATATCTTGTTGGTTTGTATTCTTCACAATTATCCTAATGAGTCTTTGAAATTTTTTGACATGCATTTTGAATTGTTGTGTAATATATTGGTTGCAAGCTTGTTCTTATTTGCGATTAGTGTAGATTGTGCTAGGCCTAACGATTGAGATGTGCTTTACTTAAGTTAATGTTGGAATTAACTTTAGCCGCTGTCTTGCGCTGATTTTTTTTTTCTCTTTCCGTTTAATGACCTTTTGGTTGCTGGTGGTTGCGTTTCTTTGGGAAGAACTAAAATCTAGTAACGATTTGTTGTTCAAGTTAATTGTAGCTCCTCCTTGATGCTGGGCGAAGTTGTTTGAGATGAACAAACATGTAAATGAAAGTTTTTTGTGATTTCATAATTGATTTTATTTAAGTTAATTTGTTTCCGGGCTGCTTTTTTTAGTGTAATGTGAATTCCTGCTAGCGCTAGCATTGTAATACGGAATTAGATTACTATTGTAAATGTTAAAGATAAGTTTAATTTAGATTATCTTACCTGTTGTTTTCTTAGTATATTACGATTTAGCTTTATCATTTTAGCTTCAATTTTAATCCTTAGCCTAGCTTAGCTATCTGTTTAATCTATACGATAATTGTCATGATGTATGTTGATGTACTTTATGCAATTAATTGTTCAATGCATTGTAGGGAATTAGCCGCACCGAAAGAAGGTTAGAGATTCCGAGGACTAAGTTCAATGAACCACTTATGATTAGTTTACATGAATATGTGATGGGGTTTTAAAGTAATATCTAAAGTTATGTAAATTAACATTGTCTCTTGTTCATAGTTGCAAACACTTTTATGTAGATTGGGTTTCGTGGCTTGAAAACACATGTTGGTGAGAGATCATGCTTTCGTCCCTAACCTAGATTCGTTTGCAATTTTGAATACGTAATAGCCATGAAATTTAAGTTTTTGCATAATCCTTAATGTGTATTGTTGTTTGTATAATTGTGGGGCATAACACATATTTATCTACTGTATTTAGATTTTTTCCGTTACCCTTTGTTTGTATGTTTATTTTATGCTTGCGTTCTATGATTGTCTTGTTTATATGTTCGTAATTTCTATTTCATAATTAAATTCTTATAGAACTTATTTATTAATTGCAGCTAGTTCAGCATACCCGAGTTCCTTCCATGTACTTTTGTCACTGCATAAGCATCCGCATATCATGTATATGTTTGGACATGGATTGATGTCTTGCATATTTTCTATACTACGCCTTTTGGGCTTACTAGATTGATCATTTTGTGTATAAGTAAGTTTTGCCTTGTTAGCATTTTATGTAGTCCTATGTGTAGTTGACAAGATTGTTAGTGTAACTGATTATGAGATATCTTCGAATGTGGTTGGATCATTCACGTTTTATAGGTTTAATAATGATTTTCAGAGCGAATATGGAAAAACAAATTGTATATTAATTGCCATGAAATAGATGTTGTAACAAAAAATTATGATAACTAACATGCGGTATATTTTTTGTTGCAGAAAGATGTTACAAATATCATTACAGAAAAAATTGTGAATATTAGAAAATATTTGCACTGCATCATTTGTCGCTTATGTTTTGTTACAAATAGAATTTTATTTTTTGTCTCATACAAGAAACCATAACAAATACCGTTACAAAAAGATAATCTGATTGTCAGAAAATATTTACACCGCATTATTTGTTACGGCTATTTTTCGTTACAAAAAGAATTCTATTTTTTGTCATGTATAAAAACCCGCAACAAAAAATCTCATCACTCGCGTTGCCCACCAATTTCTTGTTTCGACATTTGTTGCGAGATAGAATTTTTGTTTCTCGAGTAAACATACCGGAAAAAATCCACAACAAAATCGTCACAAATAGCTTTTTGTTACGAAAAATTGGCATTTGTAGCAAATTCAAACCCGTTAGAAATAGTGTATCTTGATTTTTTTTTTCCCTCCATTTTTTAGCATCTATTATTTTTATTTAAAATATCCTATTGGTATTAATTTTCCAACATCTTATATAACAAACCGTTTTGGTTAGGATATTTGAGAATTTCTCAGCATTATGCTGATTGTTCCAATCAGTCTGTGAAAATTAGAATAGATACAACATAATAATATAATAGGCAATACATGTGATATAAAATATTAGTATGTGTTTGTCAGGTTAATTTTATGTGTATTGTAAATTTATATGTAATATGTTGCATGTCGGCACAATGCTGACTCATTTTCATTTCAAAAAATAAACAATAAAAACCAACATTGTTATAGGGCGCGGATCTAGTGCTCATACTCAATTAACATATAATCCATCATTTTTCAATTCAAAGTATCATTCTTATTATTTTCGTCGGTTCCATTTTATAATATCTGTTTCATATTTTAGAAAAAGTATTGATATATTAATAATAAAATACCCTTAACTTTTACTTAAATTATACTCATATTATTATATAGACAATTAATTTAGACATAACGTCAAAGGACAAAAATGTCAAAATATTATTATTATTTTTTTAATTTACTACAAAACATAAATAGGCCGATTTGATTTGGAACAGAGTAAATATAATAAAACATGCATCATATGCTTGTACAAAGCACAACATATACTGTGTTATAACAAAATATATGTTGCATTATAAATATTCTATATGTACAAAATACTAGTAGCTAACCGGTGCTACACGGATATTTAATATACTAAATTATACTCATTTTGTCCCACATAATTTGTTTTTATTTTTTATTTTCGTCCGTCCCACATAATTTGTCCTTTTTTTTTTTTTGGAAAATTGATTATCCACTTTAATTATATTTTGAACTTTAAAATTTAAATTTTTTTAATCTTAATTAAACTATTTAGTTATCTTAATCTTAATCTATAATAATTTTTACTAAATAATAATTATTTTTACTGATACACTTGTTAATTATTTACTAATTATACTTTACCCAAATTCTCATATCTACACTAATGCGCCCATCTTATTTAGGACGAAGAGAGTGCGTATTCGAATCATTATATATTTAAAATAATAAATTATATCCGTAAGAGAATTACAATTACAAATAAAATATTCTAAAAAAGTTATAATAATAGTTAAATATAAAATTTTAAAAATTGAATTTTAATCAAAATAATTAATTTAAAATTATTTAAATAGTTGACTCAAATCAAATATTAAATTAATGTTATTATTATCATAGTCAAAAAAAAGAACAAATATGAGTTAATAGATGGAGTGCCGTATTTATAACAATAACTATAATTTATTTTGTTATTGAAAGTAATGTGAGACATATCATAATTTTATAAATAATTATTAGTATAAACAATTTTTGAGTTGGGATTTGAATAGTAAAAATTTTGAATTTGAATAGTTGTATGATATGATATAAATAGGTGTTGATGTGATGTTTTGAATGTATAATTGATTTTTAATATAATATAAAAATAAAAAATAAAAAATAAGCATTTAATTTGATGTTTTGAGAGAAAAAATGAAATAAATAACGTATTTAAAATTTAAACCCCCAAACAAACACACCTATTACTCTTTAGTCCAATTCATTATTAATGGCTATATAGGCAAAAAAATAAAAAATAAAAAATATTTCAACTCACAATTATGTTGAACAATTATTAATATGTATAGAAACTCATATAATATTCTAACTAATCAAAACTTTAAAAAATAAAAATTCAAAAATTTAAAACATTAATATGGTGCAGGATGAGTTATGCAGCCTTCATATATATATATATATATATATATATATATGAACAAATCTGTTGAATCTATCAAGAGGAAATCTGCTCCCATTGTTATATATTAGGCGGCAAATTTTGTACTAATCCGGCCAACATATATGATAGGGATGACCAATATATATATTTATTCATATAATATGAAGAAAAAAAAGATATTAAATGTAACTGTCAATTACTTTCCAATTGAAAAATACAAGGTGAAGTGTGATAAACAAACACACTTTACGCCAGGTTGGACTGATTCTCATCGAAGGTCCATTCTCGTTTTGGGTTCTTCATAACAATAGGAAAATTACCTTATACTTGAATGGTTTTTGTGGGATGAGCCCATGAATACTCAATAGCTTCAGAGATATATTCTTCTTAAGATCTTAGGAATGATTCTATCTTATTCTTCCAACTTCTATAGTTTTTTCCATCGAATAATGGAGGTCGAGCTGTTGATGTGACACCCTGGCCAGCAAGCCATGCAAAGCCAAGCATATCGGGATTGCAGGCTGGCTCCATAGGTCAACACGAGTCATTCCAGCGCACTTCTGGAGTCATTTCAACGCGCTTCTGTCCTCACTCACATACACCTTGGAAGACTTCTCATGGGGTCACCCATCCTCAAATTACTCCAGGCAAGCACGCTAACTGTAAAATTCTTTCAGTAGGGCTCTCAAAAAAAATTGTGCATAATGTTGATATGAGTAGTCTATTTAATCTATTTAACCTCTATTCACTTTTGAATGACCTAGCACCGTCTCATCCGCGGGAGTTGGCCAAGCAACGGCCCAACTCCAGGGGATATCACATACCACCTTCATTACTCATTTTTAGAATTGTGAGATGGTCAACTCAATGATTTAGAGAACACTGCTATGGTATCAGATGTTAGATAATAGTTCTCGACGAAAACTTCTTCGTACACCAAAAAAGGGGCCAAATCCCCGAAGCATAATTAACTCACAATAATAAGAACACATTGTCAATGAAATAAATATTGGAACACCAAAACAATAAATTAGACAAGTGTTTGTTAATCAAGTTCACTTATAAATCAACCTACATCTTAGGGATCCAATTCAGGAGTAGATCAATTATAATTAGTGTTGATTACAGAACAAAAAAACTATAAACTCCTTCAATTCTTTTTCTCTACAGGGACTAACCTTGGAATACCTCCATAGATAACGGTTGTTACAAGCTCATTTTGGCATTAGTCACAGAGTAAGGCAGTTCAAAGCTGGTCATCTCCTTTGATTGGATCTCCATTACTCTGTCCTTCAGCAACTCTTTCAGCAAGTTTAAATATTAAACACAAGTTCAAAATATAGAGATTGAGTAAAACAAGAGTTAGAGCAGTAACAAAAATATTTCTCTCTAAATTTTGTCTCTCAAATATGCTCACAACCAAGAGCATTTGTCCCATTATGATTTAGAACCACCTTTTTGACTTAGTAGAATAGAAAAAATTAATTTTCCTTAGCAATGATAAAGACTGAGACGTTACACAATGCACCTAACAATGTTTCTGACCTTCCCAATTCGTCTAATTTGTCTTTTGTATGAATTTGTACAGATTGGACAAAGTGGACAAACACAAATGCAAAGACTCAGATGTTGCAGTCTCAGTCCGTCTGCAACCAGATTGAGACCGATGTTGTATTTGGAATCTGATCACGACCGCTCCAGGTGGATGAGTTTTGTACATATGTCAAAACACGTAATTGGGGTATTTTTCATTTAACACTATCCATTTTTAGGCTCAATAGAATATGAATAAACCTTATTAAAGGTCTCAACACTATATACTTCGTCAATAAAGTCTGTTGGATTTAATTTCTATCCATATATGACACTCATCTCATGGTGACAATAGAGTCCACATAAATCTCATGTTCTACAACCATACAACTTATTCAGAATGTCAATTATGAACATACTTAATTGGTACAAAAGATAAGATTTCCATATATATATATATATTTCATAATCTTTACTATTTTTGGGACAACCGTATATTCTTTTATTTTTAAAACGCCATGCTCCTTTGTTTGAAATCCATGAAAACAAATACGTTCTGATCTACTCCAACAAAGATAGTATTGGAAATTCTTTAGTTTCTGATATAATATTGATAAAAAATTGCCACAGATGGTTCAAAATCATATCAGACTTTGAAAATGTGACAAAGTATGACCTCAACCATTGGGAAGACGGTTTGTTGGCAAACGAATCAATGAATTTGCCATTCAACTGTTGGATCTTTTACATAGCATCCTTGCTTCAGGAATAGTTATTGCATCTACAACCATCCAAATAACTCATTTGTATGAAAGTCCCTTAAACCCAATATTTTTCATATTACCATATAGGTACACAAAACTTTTTTTTTCCGATCTGGGAAATAACATTTTCCGTAGCAGACACGAGTTTTTATTGTTTGTCTGATATTAAGGTATTCGTCTGATCATTTTTTATATTTTTAAGCCTCTTTCAACAGTATAAAAAATCATTCTCATGACGCACACACTACAAGAAAATATCATTTTTGTAACGAGATTTTTTCGTCATTAAATTCACTTTTTCCGTTACTAATGATATTAGAGACGGAATTAATGATGAAATTACGTTAGCTACGTGATCTTTAGTGACAGAATTCCGTTACAAATATACTATTTTTTTTGTAGTGGCATGTCTCACTGCCAACGACATAGACCAAATACACTACAAGAAATTATAAATTTTGTAACTAAGGTTTTTTCGTTCCTAAATTCACTTTTTCCGTTACTAATGATATTAGAGACGGAATTAGAGATGGAATTACGTTAGCTACGTGAACTTTAGGAACAGAATTCCGTTACAAATATACTAGTTTTTTTTTTTTTTTTGTAGTGAGAAAATAATTCATTATGAGATCAATACAATGACTTATACTCATTGGCATATTTTGTAGGGTCTTAAACCAAATTATATATTGAATCAATAATTTAGAAAGATAACATAATCATTAATTGGTAAGGACGTATGAATTAAAAGTTAAATTTAAATAGATAATAATATTTTAAAAGTGTTCACGAGTTTTCCATCTTATATATAGCTACATACATGTATATAAAATTTTATTACCTATATTAATAAAAGTCGAATGATATTTTATGTAGTTCGAGTTTTATAAAAATAAATTAAAAGTTATATTTATTTATTTGTAAATAAATGAATTAAAAAATTATGGCTTTAAACCAGTTGCCGGCTCTAGGCGTGGGTAATTATCGCTTGAAATCAGTGCCGGCCTTTAGCATGGGTCCCTCTATACCAGAGTCCAGGGATACAAAAATGGACCAAAGTTTTTTGGGTCCTTTAGAGGGCAATTTTGATAATATATATATATAATATTAAAATTTTTATGTTAAAATTTATTTCATTGTATTTAATTTAAAATTTTTATTAAATATATTTGAATATGATTTTTTTAAAAGAAATAATATGTTTTTATTTGTAATAGAAATAAGCAAACTCAAAAAACATTAAAAAGTAATTAATATTTTATTCTTTATATATAAAATAATTAAATAAAAGCCTCATTTTAATTAATTTTTTTTTTTTTTTGGGGGGGGGGGTGTTGGTTTCCTTAACGCTCAGGAACAATCCTGCTTAGAACGAAAGAGTGGTATCTATTAAGATTTATAACTTCTTAAATTACACTGCTAAAGTCCTAAAATTCTCCATTCTCAACTGTTCTAATTGAGACAGTCTAAGTCCACCCTTCACCCCACAAAGGTTAAAGCCAAGGCGGGAGGGTAGTTTCTTCCTTACACAATTTTGTGTCTATTTTATCTTATCGGAACAGATTTTAGCTGAATGTTTTCAGCCTTCTGGTGTGTTAATGGCATTGATAGGCTCTCGGTTCTACAAATTTTGGCAAGTGATAATGCAATAACTGTCTGAACGCTTTTTGATCTTCCGAGTATGTCTTGCGTATTTGTTCTTTATTCTTTCGGTATTAATATACCTCTTTAATCTTTCCGATAAAAGAAAGGAAAAAAGTTAACCCCAAGAGAGTGCAGCGTGAGAATGGATCCCAATTACTCAAATATGACCCAAAATTTGGGATGATTAATGGTAAATTGATAATTATTGGATGGCGAGTGCACGTATCATCGGAGACTTGGGTTCTTAACCTGTGTGGCCCCAAATTAAAAAGAAATATCCGTTGATATGCTTTGAATCTAGGAATATGATATAGATATTATTGGCGGCCCAAGCTGCTCAAATCAGTAACATGTAATCTAGCCGTCCCACAATAAATCTGTTGTCTGTTTCTGCCCATGGACGTAGCCAACATGTTGTTGGTGAACTACATAAATGTGTGTCTTCTTTATATTTTCTGTTTGTTATTCGATCATTATCCATAATCCGTCGTCACAAAACTATTTTACATAGAGATAAAGGAGAAAGGCTACCAAACCTTCAAGGGTGATGAAGCTGAGGTTAAGAGGGCTAGTGAGCAACCATCCAAGATCCAGGCAATTCAAGACAGTGAAAGTCACTTAGGCGACCATATATGAGAACCACTGAACCAGTTCTCTGTATCATCTAATCACTTAGCAGCTATACATCCGAGAAAGATGAGGAAACCCGCTTCTGCCACCTCCAAGAAGGAAGAGAATCCAAGGTGTTAGAATATGTTTTTGGCTAACGTATATTATTGGATGAAATAATTGCATATATTTTTTTGATTGAATTTCTGATATGATCTGAGATGTATACGGATAGATTTGTGGATGAAAGTATGAAGATTTTTATGGAAATATTGTACGGTTAATTTTGGGATTTATCGAGTAAATTATCAAGTCAAAATATAAGTGACTTTTTTTTCCATATTTGATGCTTTATCAACATAAAGATTTTTTTGTGGTGAGATTGACTTATGGGGGATTTGGAGACATGAAAAAAGAAAGTGGTGTTGAGAATTAGAATTTAGACATAAAATATTTTGAGAAAAAAAGGAGAGAAGAACTCAACACAATTCTTGAGAGAATTGTTGATTTTCATGGGTAAATTATGATGAGTTTTTCTTCCGCATGTTCTTGGTTTTCTTGAGAAATATTCATGCATATTTGAAGAAATTTAATGGTGGAATGTTGGAGAACAAGTTAAGATAGGTTCTAGACTTTATTGGATTCGTACAAAAAGATTATTAGGTGAAGACGCAATCAACATCAGAAGCTGATAACGGATGCATCCTGAGTGATTCATGTCCGGTGTAGGCGACGCTCCAACACTGGTGACAGATTGGTCATGGTGCTTAACCATAATTTTCTGTGATTGTTGTTTTGATATTTTTTATTTCCTAAACAATTGTTCTGAAATCTTTGTTGACAGTGAATGAATTCTGGATTGGTATCTCCTGGTGTAAGTCACGGTTGAGCCAAACTGGAAGAACAAATTGTGTGTTCCCTTTGTTTTTCTGTGGTATGTATGATTATTTTCTAATTGTCTGGACGATGTATAAACCACCTGCTCTAGTGGGTACACTAACTTTAAGGTATCTTCTGTTGTGCGCCAAATTTGCTTTTTCGGCACGTTTCACAAGAAATAAAGGGTCTGTTTAATTGTAGTTTCAAATTGATTTAAAATGAAATATTATTTGAATTTTTGTTTAAATAATATTTTGTAATATAACATAATTTATTTCTAATGAAAATTATATAGATTAAATAATATTGATTTAAGTTTGAAATAAAATAAAAAAAAAAAGCCTTACACGTAACGGAAGGAAAAATACTTCAAGATAAGGTTAATAAAAAGAGCCATAGGAAATTGCCAGCTAGAAAGGTTCCTACTAGGACCGCCTTAAATAAACATGGGTTATTGATATTTAACATGACAATTTTACAAAAAAAAAAAATCTATGTAATTTATTTATATTCGATCTCTCTCCCATAAAATGTCAATTTTTTTTTTTTATTTTTGTTCGTCCTAGTTCTTTTTTTTTTTCAAAAAAATAATTATACACTTCAATCACATTTTAAATTTTAAATTTTAATTTTTTTAATTTTATTTAAACTATTTAGTTATTTTTATAATAATTAGTTTTATTAATACATTTTTTAATTATTTATTAATTATACTTCTCTTAAAATTCTATGTCTACGGTAACGTAGACAATTTTCATGGGATGGAAGGAGTATTATTTTTCATGAAATGGTCCTAACATTCTTCTTTAGATTTGGAAAATATTTTTTTGTTGTGTTTTATAATAATATTTTCCCAATTTCATTTACAAGATCTGTCTTTTTCTCTTTTTTTTTTCCCGGAATATCATTCATTGAGCACCCATTTTTATTCAAGATATTATATTTAAAATTTATTTTTTATTTAAAGCATCTCATTTCCTCTATTTATATGTTCTATCAAAAAAGTTATTTCAATTACCTTTTTTTTTGCTATTTCGAACATTTGAAAGTACAAAAACACAAGAAAAAGACATGAAAAGGTACTAGTCTTTAGGGTTAGTTGAAATTTTGTTATAGAGATAATAATACACGTTATATACCAAAAAAAATATAAGGAAGCATTGTTAAAATATATGTGAAAAATATTCACAAAAGAAAGAACAAAAAAAAGAAAATGATTGAAATAAATTATCCAAGAAAGTAACTAATCCTTATTTCTAGAATTTGATTCTTGCTATTTAATTATATAATTCTAATTTATTTTAAGAGTATGCTATACGAAAATGTTTTGTACATTATATAAAGCACAACACCTCCCACAGGACAAGAACAAAAAACATCATGGACAATATAGTAGCAACAAAAGCACTTATAACCATTACATTACTTGCTCTTAGTTGCATTCCCAAATCATCATGTTGTCCACCAACTCTTAAACGTAGTGTTGACATACACATTGAAATTACAGATCCCAAAAGAGTCATTTATCATTGTGCCTCCGGGGATGATGATCTTGGCAACCATACAAACAGTTGGCATTGGTCATTTTGTGAAGGTATAACTGGTAGAACACTCTTCTTTTGCCGCTTCTGGTGGGGATCGAGAACTCGTGCTTTTGAAGTTTATAATGAAAAATGGGCGTATTCGGCTTGTGGAAAATATGGAAACTGCATATGGCATGTGCGGCCGGACGGTTTCTTTCTTGAGTTTGACAAAATCCTTCAAAAAAAGTATGATTGGTAGCGATATAATGTGTTGTCCGAAGCAATTATATCTTTTTATATACATCGATAACAAATATTTATAGATGTATTCATATCTATACATATATGTTTAAAAATATATTATATTTATTAGAAGGAATACTTAATCAAAGAGATCTGAATAATAAAGAATGAAGCGTATAAACGATTTAGTTAAGAGAATATGGTTTGATACCCACAGCGCCACATTATTTTCTTTACATCGTGAATACATATAATTGACACCATAATTTTGGCCATAACTTTCGCTAATTTTAACACGACAGTTATTACAATTATTTTTTATACATTATTTAACTATTACAAGTTTAGTATTTCAAAAATATTTGCTTCTTAATGCGACTTATTTTTTTAGTATTAAATTATTAAACATTGACCAATTTGTGAAGGGCTTATTAAATATAGTAATATATAAGAATAATTATATATTTTTATATTTGTTTGTTTTATATGAATTTGGCCAAAAGTAATAAAACAAATAATATAAACACAAGCAAACATACAAATGCAGCGGCAGGGTAGAGGTTCAACATCAGCCCTATCAGCCGGTACACATCTTTCTCCTCTCGCCCCCGTCACCCTCTTAACGATACTCATTATCTCACTACAAAAAAATATCAATTTTTTAACAAAATTTTTTTGTTGTTAAATCCACTTTTTTCGTTACTAATGATATTAGAGACGGAGTTAGAGATGGAATTACGTTAGCTACGTGAACTTTAGGAATGAAATTCCGTTACAAATATACTATTTTTTTGTAGTGTCTGTAGCATCCGAAAACCACAAGGAATCATGAAACAACATATCCTCATGGTTTAGCTCTACACATTTCTTTTTATTAATCACTATATCATTTGCTCTAGATTATTTTGTTTACGATGTATTCATTTTTACAAACAGTATATTTTGTTTACCTACAAAAATTAAAATAGCATAATGTAGCAAAAAAAAAAAAAAATCGATAATAATATATTTATTACAACTTATACATGCTATGTAGATATATATATCATTTTCAAGGGAGGTAAATAGTTAAACATATAAAATACAAGATACAAATAGTATATGTAAAAAAATAAAAGATTAAACTTCTCTTAAAATATAACACACAGAAAAAACCCTAAAATTGTATAATATAGAAAAGCATACCATGTTAGAGGATAGACGATACATGCTACACTTCTCTTGCAATGTACGGAGACAAAAAAATATAGGCTTTGTTGTACTAAAAGAGTAGGAAAATAAGCTTAAAAATATAAAAGAAATACCATGGGTGAATTGGGGAAGAAGAGTTCTCTACACAAAAAATGCTATAGAACACAGCCGGGGATAAACATAACACGGCCGTGTTACAAGAAAAAAGGCCATGCTTTGATACGACAGACCTAAGCCATGTTTCAGTGAATACGCTTGTGTGTGAGCACCAGTAAATATACGGCAATTTTCTAGGACATGACCGTGTAAATTTTGAACATGGCCATGTGTGTTTGGTCAGCCCATTATTGGTTACGCAAACATGACCATGCTTTGATGAACACAATCGTGTTCGGTCTAGGTCAGCTGCGATATCGGATCTCGTTACGTCCATATTAATATTTTTCGTTAGTTTTCAATGATATAATAAAAATTGATTAAAATTTTATATAATCATGCTAAAATTGAAGATTTTTTTTTTTTTTTTTTTTATATTATGGCCGAAATTAATGATTTATGTTGTATTGGAACCAATTTTGATTTTTTTTTTTTTTTTTTTTCTATAGAGAAATCTTACCGTTCTTCCATGGAAGCTAAAACAAGAAGAAAATTGTTAGGGATTTACTCGCCTAAAGGTGAGATGAATTTGAAGAAGCGGATCGAAACAAAATTGAAGTACAAATAAAATTTTGTAAAATACGAAAAGAAAAACACAAGATTTAGGTGGAAAATCCAAAATAGAAAAAATCCACGAACAATGAAGAATTCATTAGATGAATCGAATGTTTACAACGTTACAAATAGATGATTTACTTCTATCAAATCCCAAAAATGTCCCCCCCTGCCCCCTTAGTATCTATGCAAAGGGGACGGCAAAAAGGTTGAAGTTTTATCTGATGCCTCGTCCAAACCTGCGTTGGATGTCTTGCGTACATATTCGATTTCCAGCCTTATTGTGATCATTCTGGTGATCGGATGCTTGATTGTCCTTTAGTATTGGTCTGTCTTTGAAATGCTTTAATATTTTGCATCTAACTTGGTTCTGGACAAGGCTGCCGATTGTTGATTATCTTGCTCCTACAGGGTTAGGCTTAGAACAAGACCCATCGGTGGATAAGATCACCTCAAAATCTTCTAGGTATGTTGTTGATTGGACTAATTAGGCTGGTTAAATAGGATGCTTCAAATTTTAGACTGTAAATTGATGTTGTTGGTGAGTTTTGGTGATGGTTGGCCGTTGTGGCCTGCCAATCTTTTAGGTTGTCTCAATACTATACAAGGGAGGCTCAGTTCTTGTAGATGAATTGCCATTTATTTTGGTTTTGTGTTAGTTTTTATTGTATTCTCTCAAAACAGATTTTAACCTGATTTTATTATTTCAAACATTATTTTCCCTCCAAAAATATCAAATCAAACATCCAATTTAATTTTACATTCAGGGTGTGTTTGTTTGGGGATTTGAATTTTGAGTTGGGATTTGAATAGTAAATATTTTGAATTTGAATAGTTGTATGATGTGATATAAATAGGTGTTGATCTGATGTTTTGAATGTAAAATTGATTTTTATTATAATATAAAAAATAAAAAATAGGTGTTTGATTTGATATTTTTGGGGGAAAAATGGGATGAATAGTATATTTTAAATCCAATCTCCCAAACAAACACACCAGTTATCACATCAATACATATTTATATCACATCAAACAACTATTTCAATTCAAAATTTTATTAGTTAAAATCAAAACCTCTCAAGTAAACACACTCTTGGGAATCGGATGGTTGGCGGTTCGGTTCGATTGTTGAAGCCTCTCAGGTTCGGTTCCTTGTCCAACGTTGCTCGAGGTTGTTTGAGATGTGGATTCTTGGTGTGGTTAATTTTATTTCTCAATGATTTAATGAAACTTGGATTTATTATTATTTTTTTTTGGCTCGTCAATTTTTATTTAATGAAAAGGAATTCCGATTAGGCATATTTCGGAAAGTTCCTACCCAATGCTCAACGTGACTAAATGAACCGATTTTTTGTATATTTTTATCCGTAACAATTATATTTATTAAAGACTAAATTATTAATGTACTCCGATATTTTCTATTCAATTGTTTTGGAATCTTCAAATACTCCGCAATATCAAAATATGTAAGTCCGCAACATAGTACGGACAAAGAGCACTAATATGTATACATACAAGATTAAGAAGAAAAGAAATATAATAATGCATGTGTTTTCTCATTATTTAAAAATAGCATGTGCCGTCTTTATATTTTAGATAATATTGCATATAATTCTTTAAATATTATGAATTCGAGCGAATCTCATACAATTTTTAAATCACATAGAAGAATGGTGTAGAAATTTTAAATGACCTGTGACGTTATAAGAATTTTATATCATGAGATTTTAGGAAATTTTTCTTTTAATTCGCTTTACTTACTATTCTATCACTACAGAAAAATAGTATATTAGTAACGAAATTCCGTCTCTAAAGTTCAAGTAGTTAACGTAATTTTCTCTCTAATTTCATTAGTAATGAAAAAAGTGTATTTAAAGACGAAAAAAATTTGTTACAAAATTGATATTTTCTTGTAGTGTATATTTCGTTTTATTTTTGTTATTGTATTTTTTGTATATTATTTGTATTATTTACAAATCGTAGATGCTATAGAAAAAATGATGATGAATAGGTTAAAATTTATTTTTTTCCTCTCTGATAGGTATGAATTTCTTTTTTAAAATATATTTTATTTTTTCAATATAATATGAATTATGAATATTTTTTTTTAATTTAAATTAGATTTTTATTTAAATTAAGAAATGAATTTTGTGAGACTTAATTTATGATTCACATTACTTAATATTCTATGTTTGCTTTTTTTTTTTAATTACTAAATTATATTTGTATTTTTTGAACTTTTTCCGACTGCAACTCACAACATAATAAAAACAATAATAAGAAAATTAATGATTTCTCTTTCTTCATATTGATAAATATTGATTTCTTTTAAATTTATTTTTATTTTAAATTTTATAAGGATTATGAAGAATTGTTTCTAATCTAAATTTAAATTGTGAGTTTTTTAATTTTTTTAATTATTATTTGCATAACTTAATATTTTATCTTTGTTTTTGTTTTAGTTATTGTATATTTTATTTATTTGTAATTTTTTAAGACTGGCGGATATAAATAAAATGGCACTAATAAGACTAAGAATTTATCTTCTTCTTCGCCTCGATAGCTATGAATTTCTGTTTTCTATTTTGATTTTTTATTTAATATTGGTTTTTTTAATATAAATTATACTTGAATTAAAATTGGAATAATCATATTGTGAAACTTGATTTATGATTTACAATTACATTATTAGATTGCTTTTGTTTGGTTACTATATTTTTTTATATTGTTTGAAGTTTGTCTATTGCAAATCTTATATTTTATCTTATCTTATATATCTATGTATTTGAGCTCTGTTGTGGGCTCCACTTGAGCAAAAAGCATGAATTTTCATTGGTTCTAATTTGATTGATGTGTTGTATATGTGAAGCCTATTTTATTGATTGTACAATTGTATTGATTATAATTATTTTAAATGAATTTTGAATGTATTTTTAGTTATTTTTTGTTAGAAGTAGTCATTTTATATTATTTATATATTATTATATTCGTATTTAATGTTAATAGATAATGTCTTTATTAAAATTCATTATATGAATATTTTATGCAATTTAGATACAAATACAAAGTTTTTAATGACTATTTGGTAGAATAATTTTATTAATTTAGTTTTTAAATATTTTTTAAATTGATTTTGTTATTGATC